TGTGTTTTCAGTTGACATTAACTGCTGAAAAGAAAGTGAAGACCTTTTGCTAGCATGTTATTACAGGATGAAGTCATCTATTTCTGCTCCAGTTCAGTGAAATGCTTAATTTGTACTTTGAACCTGTGCTTAAAGACTTTGGTAATTTTGGATTGTGCTAGCAAATACAGGATCCCTTCTCTTAATGTCTTTGAGACACATTTTCAAAGAATAATAATTTTTCACAGATCCAAAAGTGCTTTTTAGTAGAGGTCTATAGCAATATTTTCATTTTGTGGTTGCTTTTCCTCAATTTCCAATGTGCTTATTTAGTTTCTGTCCAATATGGACTAGAATAAAAGTGACATTGTAAGGAAAAGCAACAAAAAGGAACTACTATGAAAAAAACATTGAAGTTAAGATGTGATTTGTTTTCCCTACATAGATTAAGTCATAGGAACACAGTAGATCCCTCTCCAGAAGGAAGACGAATTGAGACTAATGAATTTTTAGGGCTTCATTTACTACATTAGTAGAAGGTTTGTAAAAAAGCAGATGTTCAAAATAACAAGTTACTTCAGTTGGGGAGCAGCAGAGAGTGTTGGGATGATTTTTGGTTTGTTTTGTATTATTACCACTTAGTGGAGTGTCCCAGTGAACCAAGGAAGAAGTTTTCCTCCGTATTAATTGCAAGGCAGGGCTCATTAGGAAGCCGTGTTGGGGCCATACATGAGGTGATAAGGGAGTGCAGTGGCCTCTGCGTTTGGAAATGCTGTCCCTCATACAGGTCTCAAATATTATTTCTTTTTCTTGGAATCTGAATGAAAATTTTGCTTAGAGTTCCACAGTGAAAAAGGAAGAAATGCTGCCTTTTCAGAATGGAATAGCAGATTGTCAGAAGCAGCAGAAGTTGACTCATGTTTTCAATGCCATATTCAATTTGAATTATTCCATTGCAAAATCAAACAGAAAAACAATTGTACAATTATTCAACAATTGAACATGAGATGAGTTTGAAAAGACTGGACTTTTTATGTAGATGCATAATCTGAAGATTATAAAAAGATTATTTTGATTTTGTCTATTCTCAGCATAAAAAAAAAATACAGGAAGTACCATATGTTGAAATTGGAAATCATTATGAATGTAATTTTTAAAGATAACAACTAGCCCTTGGAAGTCTCCTAATGTAATAGAATATGCCCCATAGAGAGTTCTGGAATTCTTTTTTTTTTTTCTAGCATGAAGATTTTTTACCTGTAATAAAACTATCTCCCAGTCTGGTATCGTCCTGGATTTATCTGGGATAGAGTTAATTTCTCCTCAGTAGCTGGTACACTGCTGTGTTTTGGATTGAGTATGAGAATAATGTTGATAACGCACTGATGTTTTGGTTGTTGCTAAGTAGTGTTAATCCTAAACCAAGGACTTTTTTTGTGTCCCTCACTCTGCCAATGAGGAGGGGCACAAGAAAGCTGGGAAGGAGCCCAGCTGAGTCTCAGATAAGCCAGTGGGACATTCCACAGCATTAGAATGTCATGCCCAGTATATGAACTGGGGGAGTGACCTGGACCAGGACAGGGACTGTCAGTGGTGGTGAGCAATTGCATTGGGCATCACTTGTCTTAGCATGTGGGTTTTGTTTTTTTTTGTCTCTTATCATCATTATTACTATATTATTATTATTATTATTATTATTATTATTATTATTATTATTATTATTATTATTATTATTATTATATTTTCCTTTTGTTTAAATTATTAAACTGTTCTTATCTCAACCTACAAGTTTTACTTTTGATTCTTCCCCCATTTTGCCATGGTAGAGGGCTGAGCAAGTGACTGTATGGTGTTTACTTGCCAGCTCAGCTTAAACCACAACAGCTATGTGTAGGAATATGGGCAGGGAGAAAATCCACAGAAGATATGAAAAAGATTAGGATAATTTATGTAGTAGCAAGTGAAAAGGTTATACTGAAGTACATACAGAATTAGTGCTAGGTGAGCATTTGTTCATCATTTGTTTCAATAAGAGAGGCAGGAATAATTCAGTAAAAATACATATAGAATATTTTGTGCAACTTTACACAAAGACATCACTGAAGCCAATAGCTTTGCAAAGAAATACAGAAAAATTTAGTCTGTGTTTGTGTAATGGGAAATTATTAAATAAATATTTTTAATTTAAAGAGAGACATCATGCATCATAGAAAAATTAATGTCTTGTTGATAAGGCTAAGGAAGAAACTTCCTTGATAGGAACATTATGATTTTTGGTTTTGAAGGTTGCTTGACTGATTTAAATTTTCTTAGTATATCACAATGTCTGTTATTGTAGAGAAAATTCATGACTAACACAGACCAGCAGTTTGGTTGAGTTTGGTCACATTCATTTTTCTATTAAGAGTTGATCTGATTTTCTGCTGGTACTCTATGTAACTCAATTCAAAGCTCAAATGTTTTTAAAAGCAGTGGCACGTCCTCGAGCCAGGTCATTTACCTGAATTTCATGGTATAATTCATGTTGTTGTGGTCAGTATGTTGCATCCAGAGTGAGTGGCCAGTTCTCCAGCGTGGAGACTGGAGAACAAGACCAGTCTAAGACAATCAGCAAATACTGAGAGAGTTCCCAGTAATGATAATAAGGTGAGGCTCGCATACATAGCAGCAGAGTCCCGGAGTGATCAGTTCTGCAAACCTCATTTGCAGGCAGTGGTGCCAGGGCAGCTGCTTCTCTGTATCTGTATAATTCACTTGAAAGGCAGTTCACCTGTGCTGTCTTTTGGGTGGCTTTGTGGGATATATCTGTATGAATATCCCATGGGTTTCTGATGCTGTCCTGTTCTTTTCTGCAATCTTACAGCCTTGGGTGCCCCTGCTAGACTGCTCACTTTTACTCACAGACTTCTGAAGGTTGCTCACGCTTCACTGTACAGGACAATGAGATTTAAAAAATGAATATCTTTGTTGTGCATATCTCGTTTGTGCATACATATGAATATGACGATTTCTTAGCTCTTTGATATTAATACCCAGTAATGACATTATTGGTATGGGTTAGAATTTAATTCTTTTTGGATTCTAGTGAGTATTTTTTGGTAAGATACTACAATACCATGTTATGCAGACGTAATGGTAATGAGTCAGGAATTGGCACACAGTCTTCTGAGTCAGGATATTGTGGCATTGTGTACCAGAGGTACTTTCTTTTGGCTTAGCCGCAGAGCTGACCATCTGTGGTCATAAAAGATCCTGGGAATATTTTTGTAATAACCTAGTTTAGTGACCAAATTTCTTTATGAGTAATGGCATTTGAATGAACTTTCCCAAATTATTGCTATTACTTCTTTTATAAAATATGCTTTGTCATATTTATATATATAATTTATGCATTTTAATTTGCTATGAATCATATGTCATTGCAGACTGTAAAGCTGGGGAACACTGAAATCCCTTGTGAATACTGATTGTGTTAACTATGCCTGTATACATAGGCAGTTCAGATACTGCCTTGAGATAATTAAAGGTTATTGTCTGCAAACAACATGACTTCTGTCCCCTGTTATATCTCGGCTACAAAATTCACTAACCAGTCTGTTCTTCCCAAATGAAAAGCTTAGAAGCAGTCTAAACAATGAGAGATTCAGTGATCTGCTGGGATATTACCAATATTATAAAGCATGCTGAATACACATTAAAAAAAAGGGCCTGTTGTGTCCTCAGGAAAGAAATAACTGACCTTCATTTCTGGTCAAATTCAAGATAAATTTCAAGGTATTTGACTAGTCGACTGACATGTAATTCTATATGATTTCAATCATATATTCAGTTATTTCAATGTAGTGAAGAAACTATGCTGTTAATTCCTGTATTAATTTCTTTTGAAAACTCTGGATATTTATTATTCACATAGAACTGATTAATACTTCTTTTTATTATGTTACATCTTAAAACAATGCAAACATCTGATTAATTTTATAACTTTACTATGATACGGGGATTATATCATAGTAGAGTTGAAACTTTAAATAGAGTGTATCTTCCTTGAAATAAGACAGAGGAACATGCTTGGTAACCATCTCAAAATTATTTTTTTGTAGGTTATCCTTAAAACTGTAAATAACAAACTGAAACAGGATTTGATAAAAATTTCCAGTACTAGTATTTTTTCATCCTTTCAGCAGTGCTAGCCTTATCACCTCTGTCAGTCAAAAACTTTTGAATTTTTGTGATAGAAACTTGAAGTGACATTGTGAGATATTGCAGAGCTGTCCCATCTACTAGCTGTGCAGACTGCTCTTAAGAGGCAGGGTTTTTTTAAAGATAGGTGACTGTAGGTAGAAGCTTGTAATGAAAAGGCTTTGCTCTCCTTTGCAAGCAACAAAAAATAAGTAATTGTTTCTTTGTATCTTGTGGCAGTGTCCAATGACTGTAATGAGAAAAGTATTTTGGCTAAAAGACCCCTTCAAAACTCACAATCCCCATTTGCCAGCTATTGAAAGTGTAATCTGACTGCAGGGCTTTACATTGTGGATGGGAAGCCAAACAACTGACTTTGTTGTTGAATAAGAGTCCCATCTTATTCTTTAAGCAGCTGGGCAGAGCTGGGTGCTTTACAGAGGGAATGAACAGAGGGGCTGTTAGAGTGGAAGCCTCATTTGTAGCCGGGTCAGCAGGGGAAGGGATGCAGCCATGCCCAGGTGCATTCACACAGTGGCCTGGATGTGACATGCAAAGGTCTGGGAAATTGTAATGGAGACTGGCTGCAGTGGGGAAAAGGAAACAGGCCCGCTAATAACTGTCTGGGACACGTAAGAGAATATTGGGACAGCAAGCTGAAAGAATGAGGACTTAAAAAAATAGCTTCTAGGGTTGTTCCCAACCACCACAGATATCTCTGGATCTAGTGAAAAAGCTGCTCTCACTAATTTGGAAAAATACTGGGCAAATAGAGGAAAAAGGGAAAATGTGACACAGTAACAATACTATGTTGTTGATATCAGTGTCTCATTGTCCTATAGGTCTGAAGTTTGAGGAAATGCAAGAAAAGTTTGGGGAGGAATTCTTCAATATCTGCTTTGACGAGAATGAAAGAGTTCTTCGAGCTGTAGGTGGAACCCTTCAAGACTTCTTCAATGGCTTTGATGCTTTGCTGGAGCATATTAGAACTTCATTTGGAAGACAGGCCACCCTGGAATCTCCTTCTTTCCTATGCAAAGAACTCCCTGAAGGCAATCTCATGCTTCATTATTTTCACCCACACCAGATTGTGGGATTTGCAATGACAGGAATGATAAAAGCAGCAGCAAAGAAGATTTACCGCTTGGAAGTAGAAGTAGAACAGGTCACAAATGATAAGTTGTGTTCAGAGGGGACAAACCCAGGTAACTGCAGTTGTTTGACTTTCCTTATCAAAGAACATGAAAATGCAAATACCACAAAAGCACTTCCACCAGGAACTTCCCAGTCCCCCTTAGACCTGAGGATTAGTATCAGCACCTTCTGCAGAGCTTTCCCCTTTCACCTGATGTTTGATCCAAACATGCTGGTTCTCCAGCTTGGAGAAGGTCTTAGGAAGCAGCTCAGATGTGACACTCATAAAACCCTGAAATTCCAAGACTGCTTTGACATAGTCTCTCCTAAAATCAGTGCCACATTTGAACGAGTTCTCCTGAGGTTATCTACACCCTTTGTCATTCGGACCAAACTTGAGGATTCTGATTCTGAAAGTAAAGATAAGGTAAGAATATTAATTTGGAAGTGGGTGTGCTTATATGTGTGTCATGGGAGAAGATTTTTTGCTCAGAGAAAAGCAGCTCAAGTCCTGTGTACTCTGGAAAGCCCACTCATGCCTTGCAAACAGGGGCTAAGTGATATTTCCCAGCCAAGTGAATATTTTCCTAGATTATTTATAAGCTTTGCTTGTGAAGTTGTAGCAAATTGTGACATTTCCATTCAGAAAATTCTGCACGGTGTGGTTGAATAGTATAGCTTGAATAGAAGGGTGAGCAATTTTACAAAATACCTGTACCTAATCCTTAACTTCACTCCAGCTATAGTATGATAAGAATAGTTTTAAAGCCATTTTCTAGGGACTAGCTTGAAGTATTTATTCTGAAAGATTCTCACTGCAGGTTTCTCATTGCCACCTTACTACATCTTATTTCCCTGTTTTGGAATGCTGCTTTCCTATGGGTTTCTTCTTACCTCTCACCCTGCACTCAAGAAAACCAGAGCTTTAAGTGGTACCAAGTACCACTTAGGCCAGTTTTATTGTGTTCCAATCATTCAAATAGGCACTTGTCCTCATACACTGTCTCTTTCCCCAGTGTTTTAGGAGATAGCTACCTTAACCAGTGAGCCCTAGGTTGAGTTCAGTACATTCAGCTGAGTAAGCTGAGAACACATCTTTCATGTGGAGTTCTCCAGTGGTTGGATGGAATTTGTCTCAATGCCTATCCTTGAATTACAGGAAAGTTTTTTGGTGTGAGTTAGGGTTCCAGGATTTATGCACCAAAGTACTTGTACTTAATGCTAACATTAAAACTTGCTTAAAGGCTTGAAAGTCTTGGTGCCTTGGAAATAATGCTGCCCTAAATGGAACTGGATGACCTTTAAGGTCCCTTCCAGCCCAATCAATTCTATGGTTTTATGATTCTATGATGATTCAAAATATAGTTACTTCTTACAGCAGCAATATTTCCAGCTCCTTTTTGGCACTATACTTTAGCCTCAATAAGTGTATGTCTGGTGCATTTTCCTCTGGAAATGAGAAACAGTTGCTTTTCATTTTGTATTAGTTGATGTAATTCAACCTTCTTAAAACCAAAAGGGAGTTTATTTTTAAGAATCTGTCCTCAGTGCCATCCTAGCCGTTTATTGCAAGAAGGAAACGAGGTGTGAAAGGTGTGGAGGTGTTGGGTCTGAGCTACCTTATGACACACTTGTTTCTCCTTTGAAAGAGTCTGGTTTCATGATGCTTAATGCAGAACACACCTGTCTCTCTCAGAAACCTTCCCTTCCCCCGGGGCAGAGTCAGAGCCCTTTGAGTGTCTTCTGCTCTTCATGAATCTGCTGTAAATCACTCTGAAGAGGAAGGAGATTTAGGTGGGGGAAGGAGGTTTTCAAAGCCTTTTTCCCTATTTAAGTTAAACACACAAATTTTTCATATGCTTGTGGCTTACTCTAAGGAAAGTGGCATGAGTAGGGCTTGCTGGAGGCAGGATTTTAGAATAGACACTACTAGCACCAGAGAAGCAGGTGGAAGGGGATGACAGGAAAGGAAATCCTTTGCCTGCCAGCATTTAGGAGAAAAATTTTATCTTGAAGAGTAAGATGAGGCAAAAGGGTAATGGTGAGGTGCAGGGGAGCTGTTTTGCTGCAGGCATGGGAATTAATTTGAGAGTATCAGTTTATCTGAAGAGGTATTTTCTTCTGTCTCACCCATTTGATAAGCATTTAATTTCTTTGCACATGAATAGTTAAAAATAAGCTCAGCATATGATGTGTTTTGCTAGATATTCCCCCTTTTTTTTTAATTACACAGATTCATAGGCTGTGGTTGACTTGCTTACATAGATTTTGAGAGGAGGGACATAGCAATACAGTTTATGTCATGCTCAAGTCCTTTATGGATAAAAAAAGTAGACTGAGCCTTGGGAACTGCATGCTGCATTATTTTCCCATAGCTCATGTCACTCATTTAGCTCATGTTGGGATACTTTTCAATTTGCCAACTTGTTTGGAAGTTGAATGTTAGGCAGGTAGATCAGTGGCTGTAAGCATGACTCTGCTTAAAAGATAGACATTTCTCTATTTCTCTGCCACATACCTCTATTCAGTTCATAATCACATGCCACTTAGAGATATTTATCTTTTCTAAAAAAAATAAATTTGACTCTGCAATAACTGACACTTTTCAGGCTTGGTTATCTTAAATGGCAGCTGTAGGAATGTGACCTAGACAACTCTGCTGCAGTGTTGAAGCTGTTCAGGTGTCTTATTGCATTAAAAAAAAAAAAAAAAGATTCAAAGGCTTTGCAGTGAACAGAGGATGTTCCAGCCTCTCTTCAAAAAATGTTTATTTTCATTTAAATGCATAAAACATATTTTTTGTAGACTGGCAGTGAGAAAGACAGAATAAGAAAATAGTTTTCATTTAATCCCGACACCAGCTCTATGTTCAGATGAAAGTAAGTCATAAATAATGATTGTTTCCTAACTAAATGCCTAGAAGCAAAATCCAAAAAAAACGCCTGTCCTGGATTTCAGGGTATTTAATGCTTGTCTGGTTTATTTAAAAGTTCATTTATGTGTTTCAATTTACTGGTATTTGAATCATTGGAATAAATAACACTGTCCTAAATTTCTGATATAAGGCTTGTGAGGTCTGGGTGAAAGGTAGCACTTCCTGCAGAGCTGTATGTGCATCTTTGCAGAAGCACACCCTCATGCATTAATATCTCAGCAAAGTTTTGTTAGATTGGTGTGTCACCAGCTGTTCCTTGGAGCCCAGAGTGTTTACAGCATATCCCATTTGTTCTAGGGACCACAAAAAAAAATAAAAAATCTTCACCTGAAGACCATAGACACCTAGTTTTAAATGTGATTTCCAACATCATGTTTCTTGTTTTCCCATGCAGATAATTGCTTGTTATTGGTTTTTTTCTTATGTCATGGTACTACCCACATGTTGAAGGGCCCTGTTGCTCTACTTCTTATACAAACATTCTGTTGTTTTTCACATTTCACTCTAATTTTTTTTTTTGTGTGTGTGTGTTTAACCAGAGACCTTCACTAGCATCCAGCCAGATTTTCCAAATTTTGGATATTGTCCCAAAATAACAAGGTCATGATGTTTGCTGTTTAACCTCTCTAAGGAAACTCATTCTATACCTCTCCATGGGAGCAATTATTTATTGCAGCAATAAAAAATCAATTTATTATGACAATTAACCATTTGGGATTGATACCTTATGGCTTCACACATAGTTAATACAACTGTGCTTCACAGAAGTTTTGTGGATGTTAGTGGAGTCACATATGGGATAAGAAATTAAATTCAGAGGGCTGAGTCTGAACTGGTGTGATGGAATGTTCTGAAATCCATGTCAAGCTTGTCCACTGAGGTGAAGGTGCTGGCATGTGGGGGAGCTGATAACCCAGCAGTGCTTGCAGGGCAGGTTGGTGTCCCCCCACCATTTCCTGACCAGACAGAGGCTGGAAGCTCCTGACAGGTACATCCTGAGTGCAGTCATTTGCAGACTGTACTAATGAGCAAGGCCATCTGTGCCATGATATAAATACTCGTCTCCTTGACAGTACAGTGAGGTGGCTGGAGATGCTTCAATTTTTAGCTGAATGGGAATGCAAGGAATGACTCTCCTGCTTTCACTCTTCTGGCACGTTCTCCTCACGTGCCCCCCGTGAGCCATCAGTGCTGGGCAGATTGAGAGGAGATGGGGCTGCCCTCCCAGGGACTCACTGTCCCTGAGACCTCCATCCAGAGCCTGCCCTCTTGGTGCACACATTGACAGGATGGGCCCTGCCAGCACCTTTGGTGACACTGGTTTGTGGACCTGCATTTCCAAAATTGGGTTTCAGGCTCCCTGCCATATGCTGTGCAGCTGTATTTTCCTTGTATTGGTGCTCTTCAGCTCAGACTAACAGCCCCTTTGCACATTTGAAATAAATCAGTTTTTGTAAGGATACTCACTAGCTTTTGACTTAGGCCTCTGAGCACTTTAGAAATTGTCTAAGAATAAAGCTGGCAATTAAAACTACATCACTGGATGTGTCCAGACTTTTTTTTTTTTTTTTTTAAATGGAATGTATTTGCCTTGAATATTTTATTAAAATCATAACTTCCCAGTTAACAGTTCAGCAAAATGTGTTCTGGCAAGAAAATAACTTTAATTTATATGTGTGAGTTAATTTTCTTTTCAGTAATTTTAGACATAAAATATTTTTATTAATGAAAAAAATTACCTTACAAATTATAATACAACATTTAAAATACAAAACACTGGGTTTGACAAAAATGACCCACTGAATTTTTTATATTGGAAGAAATTCCAAATGCCACATATAATGCAGATTTATGAATGGCTTGAAGCTGTGTCAGGGAAGGTTCAGGCTGGATATCAGGAAAAGATTCTTCATCCACAGAGTGGTTGGGCACTGGAACAAGTTCCCCAGGAAAGTGGTCACAGCACTTGTCTGACAGAGCTCAAGAAGCATTTGGACAATGCTCTCAGGCACATGGTGTGATTCTTGGGACCATCCTGGGCAGGGCCAGGAGTTGGGCTTCGTTGATTCTTTTGGATGCCTGTTCAGTGATTCAATGATGAAAAGTCCATCCAGACCAACATGCTGACTCTCACAGAGTCATAGACAATCCTTTATGAAACAGATAAAATGAAGTTTAACACCTGTCGTGTTTTCTGTGAAACACTCTCCTTGCTTTTAGCTCTCATGGGATGGAAGCATGTCCTCTTGCAGTGGTATCCAGGATGTGGCACAGGATAGCTCCCTCAGGACTGAGCCTCCATAATTTTCTCTAGCACCTTTTGAACCAGGGGAAGTTCATACTGTCAGCTTCTGTGGCATCCTGTGGACACAAGATCTATTGTTTATTAGAAACTGAATGTTCCTGAATGAACTGAATGTGAGACCCCTCTGGAAACTTCCAGCTGGTGTGGACATGGATTATGGAGTAAAACAGCTGGCAAAGAAGCCTGC